ATAAACACGTGTTATTCAATATAAACACGTGTTATTCACTTCAAATATAAACACGTGTTATTCACTTTAAACATGTGTTATTCACTTCAAATATAAATATGTGTTATTCACTTTAAACATGTGTTATTCACTTTAAACATGTGTTAATCACTTCAAATATAAACACGTGCTATTCACTTTAAACATGTGTTATTCATTTCAAATATAAATATGTGTTATTCACTTCAAACATGTGTTATTCATTTCAAACGTGTTATTCGCTTCAATTATAAACATGTGTGTGTTATTCACTTCAAATAATAAACATGTGTTATTCGCTTCAAATGTGTTATTCACTTCAAATATAAACTTCTATCTCTCCACTGGCCGAGAAAGTTCATCGGGATTTTTCCGACGTGGTTTCCCCTTGTCAGTGGTGCAGGAAGGAGAGCGTGCAGTTGGAATTCGATATAAGACTAGGCCAAAGTGCTGCTGTCCGGACAAAATTTCCCTTATAGCACACTGTATGGCGTATGTTCGTCTTCATTAGCCCAGTATAGAAGTAGAACAGTAGGACGTTAAACCCCATTTCATTTCAAATATAAACTATAAAGAGTAAGAGTCATCAAATAACCCCCAAGGCTATCAGTTAGGCAGACCAAACGAACACCACGGATATAAAGTTAATAGTGTAATAATTTACCTGTATGCCAGAAATCACCTTTATAATCACTGGCTGTTACTGGTGGCATATCACTGTAAATATAAACAACAACAATTTATTACCCCACAAATAATTGTCTGTAGACTTTACAACTTATTGTCTGTAGACTTTACAAACTTATTGTCTCTAGACTTTACAAACTTACTGTATCCTGGCTTGATAAAACTTATTGTATCCCGACTTTACAAAACGTATTGTCTGTCATATTCCTGAAGCAATGACCCGAGAAATCCCCTCTGACCATTGCTTGATTGACTTCTGATACTTGAGTTTTTGAGAGAGTGTGGCTATTCTCCCCGTTCAATCTAATCTCTCCTAAGTACAGCAGCATGACAACCCTTCGTTTATTCTGGGGTCTTCCCGAAAACTTTGGACAGTGTTTTAAGGTATTAGAAACGATGAAAGTGTTGTTCGTCCTCAAACAGTATTGTTTACATTGTAGCCGTTTGATAACCTCGTTTGTCACACAATTAGTTTTTCTGCAATATTCTGCTATGCACTGGTTGATTGGGCGTTGTGACGTAACGTTACGTAAACATATCTGGAGCTCTGTTTAAAGCCGAATGATATTGTTATGCAGTTATGTATTGGTTGTTAATCGGGCTATTGACCAGTCAAATTTGGAACAGACATTTGCTTCCATTACATCAGTGTTGAGTGGGATTAGGTCTAATCAAATGAAACACTGCGCGGAGTATGATTGTTCACAGACTTTACAAAACTTATTGTACTCTCCCTGTCTAGCAAAATATAAAATAAACAATTTATTCCCGGGGCTGCCTGAGTTGTAATAATATGCCATTTTAAATTTATTTTACAAATGGATTAAACATGCTACGTTTCGATACACATACAGATATCGTTAATTAATGATTAATCTGTTATATGGTTCCCAATTGTTATCTATATATTGCACCACATTTTTGTTAATTAATCATTATTTGCTTGATGTCGATATCTGTATGTGTATCGAAACGTAGCATGTTTATAAATTCAGAAGTAATATATCCATATGAGTGTTTTTAATTTGTGAAATCTACTTATATATGTCTTATAAGGATTAATGGAAGAATGAGTTAAATATTTCCTATATTGTCAGTCTGGACAGTATTTCCATGGGCCTTATAATACTCATAAGCCATTATACTCATAATGGAGCAGTACGCATGCCAGGTAACTTAAGACGCCGCGAAGGGACATAACTCGTTAACAACTTCCCCTTGGTCGTGATTGACACGTCTCAAATTACCGTGACGTGTCTCAAATAACAGCGCGAAAAACATCTCTGGTTAGATTATTAAGCCGTTGCCAGTCCATGTATTAAAAGGTCCATGGAATTTCAAACTCGAGAATGAATTTTATTGTCATTCTAATTAGTATTTCTGAGACCTGTCCCCGAGTTCACAAAACATTCTCAGACTTAAGTTAAGAATTTACTCAGAATTGTTCACCTTATTTTATCTAAAATATAGCCCTTTATAAAACTTGTTGTTGTTTGAATGTATCAAATACATCAATAAGAAACTACATGCAAAGTTTTGTGTTTCTGGATTTAAGATATTTCTCATAAACAGTGATTGAAAGTTGAGTAATTTCTTAACTTAACTCTGAAAATGCTTTGTGAACTCGGGGCATGGTTGTTCAGGGAGAGTGTTTAACAAAGATAGGACTTACAAGTCTTCGTATGCCATAGGTGACGGCTGAACACGTCTCGGTGGAGGTGGTCTACAGCAGTTGTCACAAACACCACCTTGACCAGCTCCCCCACCACAACAACTTCCGGTAATACACCACCGGAACAGGAAGTAGAGACCAATTAAGAACGCCAGTAACAGTAGAATCATCAAGATACTAAATATAGCTACGTTCTCCGCTTTCTCGAAGAATCCCGGCTCCGGAGTCGTGGTCGGAATGATAGTTGTTGGTATGGTCGTAGTAGAAGTTGTAGTTGTCACTGTCGTTGACGTAGTAGTTGTAGCTTCTAGCGTTATGACTACGGTACCGGTTGAAGAACGAGCCGGGGTGCCCCTATCCTTAGCTTCTACAGACAGGTAAACACTGGAACCAGCCAGATTTTCTGGATATTGACGTATGTATTGTATATCTCCATTACCTGTATAAAAAAGTATAAATGTGTAGAGAGAAATGAAATGAAATGAAATGGGGTTTAACGTCCTACTGTTCTGCTCCTAAACTGGGCTAATGAAGATAGGCATACGCCATACAGTGTGCTATGAGGGAAATTTTGCCCGGGCAGCGGCGCTACGGCCTGCTCTTATATCGAATTCCAACTGCCAAGGGATATTTTACGTGCACGCCAATATATACACGGGACCTCGGGTTTTCGTCCCATCCGAACGACTAGACAGCTGTCCTTGTCAGGCCCCCCATCCTGCATCACTGACAAGGGGAAACCACGGCGGAAAATCTGGATGAACTTTCTCGGCCAATGCAGGGATAGAACACCCGACCTCCAGGCTAGCTAGCCAGCGTCTTACCCACTTAGCCACCGTGATCCCCCATGTGTAGAGAGGAGAAAGGATGACTGAAATAGTGTTTAACGTCCTGCTATTCTGCACCGACTAGGCATACGCCATGCCGTGTGTTGTGAAAAAATTTTGCCCGAGCAGTGGCACTACGGCCTACTCTTATGTCGAATCCCAATGTCAAGGTTTTTTTTAACATACACTTCAATGTGTACACCGGACGACAAGACACTATCCTTGCCAGGCCCTGACAAGAGGAAACCACGTTGTATAATTTCGATGAAAATACTCCTGGCAGGGCAAGATCAGCCTCATTTGTCCAACCTTCGCGATCAGACGAAAAAATAAAACTGGTTTAACGATCGATGGATTTTTAAACCAAGTCAACCAACCTAAGCGCCTGGCCGAGCTCGGAGATTCGAATCAAGTATGGTGATCACGTGTTTGTCACGTGTTGTCTATATTTGAACTTACCAAGGACGGAAACGAAATTGATTGCATTAGGAGGAACAACTTGTACTAATCTATAGTCTATGTCACCATTTGTACCAGCATCGTCATCTGTAGCTTTTATAGAACCCAACAAACCTGGCGGAGAAATAAGAAACACGCTATAACCCGGTGTAAAAAAAAAAAAAAAAAAAAAAAAAAATTTAATTGTTAACGAATTTTATATCGTGTCATATACATGTACTAACCCCCAAAATACACCTCAAGTAAAACATTTGTTTTGGGCGAGTATTTGAACACCACGACGTATAAATTAAATGATATTAGTTTAATCTCATGTTATTATGGATGACCATTAGGGTCAATCAAATGAAAAAAAAAAAAAAATCTTGTTATTACAAGATAGCGATCTCTTTGTTACAAGATAGCTATCTTGTTATTAAAAGATAACAATTTTAAATAATTATCTTGTTTTTACAAGATAACTATCTCGTTATTATAAGATAATTATCTCGTTATTACCAGATAATTATCTCGTTTTTACAAGATAGCAATCTTGTTATTACAACCACAGACTTGCCTAAACATAAATAGATCACCTTCAAGTAGGATATTTTGGGTGAGTATTTGTACTCCGCGTTGCTTGCATTATACGGAATCAAGTCGCTATCAAGTAATATTTAAAAAAATCACAGACTCTTCTATCGCAAACACACGTAGATCCGCTTTTCATGTCCGCTTTTCGCCAGCGAGAATACGCTGCGTTACCCCTTGCGATTATGGCCGCATCTTGACAAAGCTCACTTTAAACCACGTGGTTATTCCAACTTGTTATAACAATACTTGTTATATCAGTTTTATTACTGGGTATGTCCACGTGACCTACTACAGGAATATTACATGGTAAGTGACGCCAACATGCTATGTATAGATATTTTAGATGGCAAGTGACGTCCACATGCTATATATAGATTTATTTCATGGTAAGTAACGTCAACATGCTATATATCGATTTATTACATATATTTATGTATTACATGGCAAGTGACGACAACATGCTATATATAGCTATATTACGTGGTAACTGACGTCAACAAGCTATTACGTGGTAAGTGACGTCAACATGCTCTATATAGATATATTACCTGTACTAGTCTGATACGTGACGTCTACAGCGGTATTTATTATATTAAATTCCGGTATATTATCATTTACATCTCTTACAACAACAGATACAGTGGCTGTAGATATAGCACCAAACTCATCTACAGCATTTACAAATAACGTTACCTACAATATAATATACGTTATATACAACATCGCCATTATAGCCAAACTCTACTGTACTATACACACTAACGTTACCTACAATATATATCAACAGATACAGTGGCTGTAGATATAGCGCCAAATTCATCTACATTTACAAATAACGTTACCTACAACATATAACGTTATATACAACATCTTAATAGCCCAACTCTACTGTACTATATACACTAACGTTACCTACAATATATAACAACAGATACAGTGGCTGTAGATATAGATATTGCGAAGTTCGTTTAATGTCAAGGTTTCCATGGTGGTCGCCATGTTTGATTTGAGTTTGTTTGTGTCACAAACTGATTAGACGCTACCCTTCACGTGCCTGTGGTAAAGGGAGATAACGTAGCTATAAGTTCGCGAATTGCAAAGCAGTGTAGCAACGTCTACATGTTGTAATAAGTTGTAGGATACAGTGTAGACATTTGCGTGCACGTAAAAGAATCATATGTCAAAGAATATAGGAGTAGGCCTTAAAATAATATAGTGGGCCAGGGGAGGTAACTGTGTAATAAACTGTAGCGCCAAAAAAGGTAGACGGGGTTTAACGTCCACTTGACACAACCTAAGTCATTTCGGGACTAACATTATATGGTTCAATTTTATTTCAATAATTCACTTGCGCGTATGGGTCTTTAGGAGTGGGAGGAAACCGGAGGATCCGGAGAAAACGCACGCTGTTGGACAGGCGACCCTACTCCGAAACCACGCCACTTGACTCCGCAAAATGGTATAGTGGTTCAGGGGAGGTAACTGTGTAACAATCTGTAATTGCACAGCACTAATATAAGACAAAAAGGCCATTGAGACAACACTTTTTGATATTAATCCGATTGAGTCAGTGGGAACGATTGTTAAGTCCACTCTTTGTTGTTGATAAACGGAGAAGTGGGTATTTTCAAGTACTTACACGTTCTGGCATACGACCTTGATCTACGTCATAATCTACGTTAAACGTCAAGCGGTCATCCTCTGTGAAGAAATTATTGTTTTGATTATTATTATTAGAGTTTGCCGTCAGAGCGAAGCGGTTGCTGTTTTCATCTTGAAATAGTCGAGTTATAAATCTGTTGCCTTCTGGATCTCTAATACTAAAACCAAGGTTACACGCCGACACTCCTGCCTGTAAAAATAAAAACATGTCATTGCGGTAGAAAGCCTAAAACGCCGTTGTCAACACAAAACGCCGTTGTCAACACAATAGGCCTTCCCGGGTCGGATTAGATGAAGAGAAGGCCTAGTCCATTCCACTTATGGCGCTGCTCCCATTCCCCCGCCCTAACGACTAGAGGATGTTAAAAGTTATGATGACTGTTGCTTAAGACCACAGTGCATGTAAGAAAGGCTTATGAAACACCTTGGCCCGAGGTCCCATGAATTTTGAGGCCATAGGCTTCAGTCGGCCATGCCTATACGTAAATCCGCATTGCGCCCTATATAATCGTGTCCTTTGTGTATCAACACAATTAATTGTAATAAACAGTAATTGTAATAAACAGTAATTGAAATAAACAGTTATTATAATAAACAGTTATTATAATAGAGTAATTTTAATAACCAGTAATTGTAATAAACAGTTATTGAAAAAAAAACCAAAACACACAGAGTAATTGTAGTAAACGGTAATTGTAATAAACAGTTATTATAATACACAGTTCTGCAATAAACAGTTATTGAAATAAGCAGTAATTTCAATAAACGGTAACTGTAATAAACATTTATTGCAATAAATAGTTATTGAAATAAACAGTAATTGTAATAAAACAATAGATGGAATAAACAATAATTGTAATAACCAGTTATTATTGTAATAAACAGTTGTTGCAATAAACATTATAAATTGTAATTGTATTTCATAGAATCGTGTCTAGTGTATATTATGATTTAGGCCTACTACTACGGAGAAGATTCTGCCTTCTCTCTATCGTCAACTAACTGTCAAGAGATCCTGCAACATTGTTAACCTCGCAGGCGCTGCCATCGATAATACCAAACTTTGAACCACGCCGAGACAATTGATGTAAAAATTCAATAATTATTGAGTAGACGCAAAACCCAATATCTCATATCAAACTGTGTGACGTCTTCATTAACTCGATGCAGAAAAATAGGACATCAAATCCCCTTTCGCCTCTCCTTCTGTCCGTCTACCTGTCTGAATAAATTATGGTTACCTGACCATCTGTCCCATTCCCCCCTTTCTCTCTATCGTCCGTCTGTCCGCCCGTCCGTCCGTTTTCTCGTCCATATACCTGTCCCAAACTGTCCTTCCCCTCTCCCCTTGGCCGTCTGCCCGTCCCCAGTCTGTCTCCCTTCTTCTCCCGTCTGCCCGTCTGAATAAATTAAGGTTACCTGTGATTCGTCCATGATGCAGTTCACCAAATTCTCGCTGAACACCGGGGCCTCGTTCACGTTATTTACATTAAATATAAGAACCTCGTTCTGGGATTGCAGGAAGCCGTCTGATACAGAACAAGATACGGTATAACGTGGGGTCGTCTCAAAATCTAAAAACGTACTTCCAAACTGATTGCCTCTAGATTTTAAAGATATTGGCCGAGTTACTGTAAAAAACAAAATACACAAATTGATTATTATAATCTCTATCCGGGCCACGGTGGCTCAGTAAGTAGACACTGGCTCACCAGCCAGAGTGTTCGATCCCTGCATTAAAGATGAAAGTTTATCAGGACCTAGATTCATATACCCCGCATTCCACACGTGGGCTGGACTGTATAGACAGGTTATCTACTTGAAGTATACACCCCCCATTTCACCCGTGGACTGGTCCGTATATTCGGGTTACCTACCTGAATTATACCCCCCCCCCTCCCCATTTCACCCCAAGGCTGGGCTGTATTGACAGGTTACTTACCTGAATTGTACACCCCATTGTCACCTGTTGGTTGGTCCGTATAGACAGGTTATGTAATGTCATTAAAACGTTTGACTGGGTCGTATAGACAGGCCACGTACGTAAACCGAACACCCCCTTCGAACCGGTGAGCCGGACCGTATGGCAGGTTACATACCTAAATCAAACACCTCATTTCCACCTGTGGGCTGGACGGTACAGACAGGTATTAGGTTGGTAGGGACCCCCTCGTCGTTTACACTGAGATCAACAATACTTAACGTCTGGGTATTCTCATCTCTATTTATCGTAACTGGTAAACCGAGTATATCTGGTCGTTGATTCATATCTAGAAAAATAAAATTATAGCAAATATATTTAGTAAGGAAATGAACTGAAATTGGGTTTAGCGTCTTAGTGGGTTCTGTAATTATTATAACAATAAATCTGTTCAATTGTTTGGTTTCCTACAGCAAAATGAAAAGTGGCTCCGTTTTCTAGAACACCCAGACCTGTTTTGTGTTTTATATAATATGTATTATTATAAATCATTAATAATTTTCATATGGCCCCATTTCTACAAAGAGTGCTCAACGAACCTTGGGGAAGACCATTCTGGCATATTATAGAGTGATACGTAGACTGGATAACCGGCTCTAATACGTCAGCCCCCTACGTCACTTGCTCCGACGTTACCTCTTTTCTGACGTGGATATAATGTAGTCAGAATAGCAAAGTGACGTATTGACACGTCTGGCACCATTTAGAGCTAGTTATCCAGTCAAATAAGGGAAATCGGGTTTCTTTTGCCGTTATTTATTATAAATTATATGTTTATTGCCATGGGGTGGTAACTCTAATGAACATAGGGGAGACCAAGATGTCATGTTATAGAGGGATAAGGGCGTTTGTTGTTGTCGTTCTGACTACTGATACACGAGCTTTTGAGGGAGTGTGTCTATTCTTCCCGTTCAATCAAATCTATCCCAAGTACAGCAACATGACAGCCCTTCGTTTAATCTGGGGGGGTCTCCCCTTAAACTTTGGATAGTGATTTATGGTATTAAAACAGTATTGTTTACATTGTTGGCGTTTTGATAGCCTCGTTTGTCACCCAATTAGTTTTTCTGCAATATTCTGCTATGCACTCTGTTTAAAGCTGAATTATATTGTTACGCAGTAAGCTATTGGTTGTTAATCGGATTATTGACCAGTCATAATTTGGAACAGAAATTTGCTTCCATTACAGCAATGTTAAGTGGGATTAGGTCTAAACAAACGAAACACTGCGAGGAGTATGTGGATAGGTAACTCTAAATTGTTTACTTATCAATGTGACTGTAAGGGTCAATGATCTGTCTGCAGCATTAAAACCATCTGTGACGTCAATAGTTAATTCTATTGGGCTCTGTGTCGCTGTTCTCAAATCAACTTTATTGGTCAAAATACCACTTGCTAAAAATAAAATCAAATATCGCACATTTATTAAAGATACTGTATGTAAGAATTAAATAGAGAGCTGACATTTCTTGCTATAATAGTTCAAAAATGGATAATGAAAAATGAAAATATTGAAAATTTCATTCAAATTACTTTATTCTGTGCGAAGTTATGAAAGTTTCAATCTTTGACAAAAACGTGTTTTTAGTCCAACTTCCCCTAGATTTAAATTCACCGAAATTTCGGAGCATAAAGTTTTCTAGCAAGTTTAAAATATTAAAATAATAATAAACTTTTCCCCAGAAGTTTATCTTTCTCAGATAAACTATGTCTTTAAAGATACATTATGGGAGATCCGATAAGGAGCTGGCAGTTCTCACTATAATAGTTAAAAACTAGATAGTGTAAAGGCAATTTGCTGAAAATTATGGGAGATTAGATAAAGAGTTGGCAGTTCTTGCTATAATAGTTAAAAACTAGATAATGCAAAGAGAATATCCTGAAAATTATGGGAGATTAGATTAAAAGCTGGAAGTTCTCACTATAATAGTTAAAAAACTAGATAATGTAAAGGGAATTTGCTGAAAATTTCAGTCAAATTGATCCACTATGAACCGAGATTTTAGCGATTGAATTTTTTCGGTCGGCCTAGCCTCGATCATCATTACTAAAGTCGGTAGGATATAAAAAAAAACCAACACAAGTCTCGATTATCCATTTCATGATTTAATTATAAATGAAAGTCGCACAGCAATTTGGAACCTAACCCAATAAACATCGCAGTCTAGCGATGCCATCGAGAGTTTATTATGGTCTGGATAAGTTAATAAATGTCTATTTAATAATTTAGATAACATTTCAGGCCTAAAGAAAGACCTGTAATAGGCCGATTTAGCTCTTGCATAATGTATGTTTAAAATATCAGTTTTTACAGACAGTTGATATATTCATCTGGTGGAATGTTTTAACATTTCTACCACCTTTTTAATTCTAAAAGAAAAGTTATAATAATAAGAAAAGCTGAACTTAGATTGTCGGAGAAAATGACGTCACTATTACGACATAAGAGAGACGACATAATCTGATTGGTTGACGTCGTGTTTATACGTTATACTGTTAAGAAAATGAACGTAATTTGATTGGCTGACGTCACGTGTACGTCATACCGATTGACGTCGGGCATAGGACATGATATAATTGTCACTGAATAATGAATAAAATGAAATAAAATCGGATTTACCGCCCTACTGCCCAACAGGTCTATTGAGGACAGGCAAACGCCTATGAGGTCAAATTTGACAAGGTGTACACTGTTATATAATAGTGAACACATGTTTTATTATTCAGCCATGTTTTGTACATAATAGAGGGAGAGAACTCCCAATAGTCCAATTTATGGACTTGGAACATACACAGTACTTCAGTTTTTCGTACAATCCGAAAGACTAGCCTCTGTACCACAAGTCCAGCGCGTTGTGATTGAAGGAAAGAACTACTATACTATATGTACTCACCCGTATTTAGAGTAAAATAATCCACATTGGGATCGATATTTCTAACACTGAACGCTAGGACGTCTGTTGGCTGGTCATTTATAACATTAGCTGTAGCGTTATAAACACGTGCACCAACCACTGCTGACGAGTTTAAGGCCACATTCACTGTCGCTGTATCTAAAATAATTCATTAATTTATATAAATAATATGTGCCCTTTCAATCGAAGGGGCGTGTCCAAGCCGGAGACAACGCCAGGGGGGCTTGTCCAGGAATTTCATCAGTTTGGTGTTAGGGAATTACTCGCGAACCTTTGAGACTGTATAGGATTATAGGATTACACTGAAGTGAGCCAAAACAGCGGCAATACTTCGCACGCTAGTTTTTTCAACATTACTTCCATGAATGTACTGGAGAAAAAAAATACTCTTGCAAAAAGTTTCGCCCCCCCCCACCCCTGGGAAAAAATTGTCGATCATGAAACCTATAGATATACATTGGCCGTCAATTTTACAGCACCCCTGAGAACACTTCCCGCCACGCCCCCCCCCCCTCGTTGCTCTGAGCTAGTTACCGCCCTGTGTACGTGACAAAGAGTAGGGTCACCTGTCCAACCTCGTGGGTTTTCTCTGGGACCTCCAGTTTCCTCCCACTGCTAAAGACCCCTACGGGCCATGTCAACTGGCTCATTACCCCCGCCCCCTCACAATATTATTTCAAATATTTAGATCATTTAAAATGATATTAATGAGAGTTGTTTTTTTTACCATTAATTTCAAATAATCGGTTTGGATTTCCAAAACAATAGCCTGAAAAAGAACTGGCTTTATCAAACTGGCTTTATCATCTAAAGAAGGAGTTGGGCCGACAAAAGTAACGTCTAAATGAAATCCAAAATTACCATCTAAATTGTACATAATATGTTTTATACTTAGTATTTGTGTTAATATTATGACTGCCAGTCGCAAATGTGTTAAAGATCCATTTTAAGGAAGCGATTTTATATACATGTAAGCTGATAAAGCTTGTTATCGTATTCTATATTTATTATATAAATTTTGTAAATTTAAATGAGTAAAATATTAAATAAATAAATAAATGATGATTGGGCTTACGTCATAGTTGTTTAAAGATACATCCCCACAAAATATTCGTTTATGTAGGCATGGTCGTCTAAATAAGGTCGAAAGACAAAGTGGGCGCCTAAAAGAGGTGGGGAAAATTAATAATGGTCGACTAGATAACGAGTGGCCTTTAACAAAAGACTGAACTTACCAAACGGTCGTCTAAAAGAGGGTTTAGCGTTGGAGAAAACGTGAACAATAACAGAAGCGCTGTTGGTCTGTGTGTTCGCAGTATTAGCTGGATCGGTACAAGTAGGGAAGAGTTCATATCTCGACACACGAGTTGCGTCTAATTTAAATGGTGAATCAACATTAAATACTATGGTATTATCTGAAACGAAATAGTGTATCAACATTTGACACTGTTTTATTAATTGAAACGAAATAGTGGATTAACATCATCTGAAACGAAACAGTATATCAACATTAGACTGTAGAATTATCTGAAACGAAATAGTGTATCAACATTAAACACTATGGAAATATCTGAAACGAACAGTGAATCATTATTTAATACCATGATATTATCTGAATCGACTTTAAATACTGTGGTATTATCTGAATCAACAATCGAGATTAGATACTGTGGTATTATCTGAATCGACAATAGATACTGTGGTATTATCTGAATGTGTGTTCTATGGGGGAAATTGTGACATGCAGGAAGCTGGAGCGGGGTAAACAACTGAAAACTAAAACGAAACGAAACATTGATTAACCGTACAGGCATAATTATCTACTCACCCACAAAACCAAAATTACTCGAACTATCCGTGGTACCAACAAGAAACGGAGAACCACCGAATGTACTGGTACTTGTCTGCCCACCGGAAGTCGTAATGGTCGTTCTACCAATTCTACAATTCAATGAATTTGTGGTAGATGTTGTCGATTGTCCTATTGTTGCTACAATCGTATCCGTACTCTGAGTTTCGACGATAAAAAACGATGTGGGTACGACGCTGATCTCGAACTGTAAATAAAAATATAAAAACCTAATCCTTATATATTGATCAAACGAAATGAAATGAAATGGGGTTTAACGTCCACTGTTCTGCTCCGAACTTGGCTAATGAAGACGGGCATACGCCATATAGTGTGCTATGAGAGAAATTTTGCTTAAAACGAATTCCAACTGCCAAGGGATCTTTTACGTGCACGCCAATGTGTACACGGGACCTCGGGTTTTCGTCCCATCCGAACGACTAGACAGCTGTCCTTGTCAGGCCCTCCGTCCTGCATCACCGACATAGGAAAACCACGCCGGATAATCTGGATGAACTTTCTCGGCCAAAGGGATTGAACACCCGACCTCCAGGCTAGCGAGTCAGCGTCTTACCCACTTAGCCACCGTGGCCCTGGATATATTGATCAAACGCTTTTACAAAAATGAGATGGTTAGGCTCAGTATTAAAGGAACTGACATGGGTTATTTCTGGGTTCTCCTCCGGTTTTCTCCCACAGCTTAAAGGAAATAAATCGCTATTCTCTGGCCCCTAGAAATGCAATCTGTTTCACAGAGAATTACGAGTCTCGTATAATATCTCTGTAATAGATGACTGCCTTAACACGTGCTGTCACAGCACGCGGTGTGAATCATTGGCTGAATGGCGCGTGCATTGTTTACATAAGACATAACTGCTTCGGAGAGAATGCTGCATTTTAGTCAATTTAATACCCATTTACACTAAATCGGAAATAATTTTTACCTACATATGTTTTACGTCAAACACCTTTATTTATTTTTCTAATATATACAAAAAATGTTTTAGAATTTAATTTGTCGCAGGAAAAAAGTTAATATTTCTAGCGACATCAATGTCATCCTTATCAGTGATTGTCGCGCCCAAGCAAATATTCACTGCGGATCAGTGTGCTAGAAATGGACACAACTGGTTTGGAACGCATATAATAATGAATGTATTTAAACTGAGAGAGAGAGAGAGAGAGAGAGAGGGAGGGAGATGGGGGTTTAATGTCCACTCAATCGGGTGAAAGAAGAAAAAACCAACAGTGAGGTTTACAATCCTAATTTTCAGAATCAACCGGGTGAAAGAAGACGGTTTAACGTCCTACTTTTCTGACGTACAATTTTCAACAAACACCGACTGTCATTCTATGGTTGGGTGGCCGAATGGTTAGCGCGTGTGCGTTACATCATAAGAAGGTCTATCATTAAGTCAAGTGGCGTGCTTTCGATTTCCCGCCGCTTGTACGTAACAAGGTGTATTTTACGCCTGTCCAACTTTGTGGGATTTCTCCGGGTCCTGCAGTTTCCTCTCATTCACAAGCGAATTAATGAAATGGAATTGAACCACATGTTAGTCCTGAAATAACCTAGTTTGTGTCGAATGGACGTTAAACCCCATTTTTTCCATAAAACAAACTCGCATATGATATCGAGAATTTTAATTTTGACTTAAATCAGAGATTTTTCGTCAATTCAAAGTTAAAATAAAGTAATACTCACAGCGTGTACAGTTATTATAGCCAATAATAACACGTGTATTATATTCATTAAACCCATTCTTCTTCTCTTTAATATCACTTCAAAAATGCAGTCTCTTAGTATTTATAATATCACTTCACATAACGTTACAAAAATATCATTTCATGTAACGTTATAAAAACACAATCAATATTTATAATATCAATTCACGTAACGTTACAAAAACACAGTCAACAATTCAAACTACGAGAAAATCCTCGTCAACAAACAATTTGGAACAACATGTATATCTTTCTAATATTTGAAACTTTTTCTTTGTACTCACAGAAACAGAAATTTGTTCTAAATATTTCTTATCGGAATCACACTCGAATCACATATTTAAACAATAATAACAATTTTCCAAAAAACTGTCAAAATAACACGATCAATACCAAGATCAGAATTGCCCTTCAAGAGTGAAATACAAGATGGCGGATTGACTAGTTACAAATTTATTACATATTGAATAAAAGGGACATCTCGCTTAAAAAAAAACATCTTCAGTTATTCGTTATTTTTTGCCATTAAAGGGGTGATTTTACATTTAATTCATGGCATCTTTCTTTAAAACACTTCTTAAGATATTCATTAATTTTACCGTTAAAGGGAACATCTTGGATACTTTCGGCTGTTTTTAAAGAAATGATTTTTGATTAGAAGTGAAATGAAATGAAATGGGGTTTAACGTCCAACTGGGCTAATGAAGACGGGCATACGCGATACAGTGCGCTATGGGGGAAATTTTACCCGGACAGCTTGTCAAATTTGTGAAAAGTCTGACTAGCCGTCGACCAGGAGATGTACGTGATTGGACTTTCAAGTAAGGAATAGTTTCAGCAGTTAGGCGGGGTCTGCTTATGCAGTTACATTGGATGCGAGGCAAACCCGTTTGGCCTTTTTTTTAATTACGAATAGTAATAGTTATCAAAAATTTTATCGAACGTTTGTGGGAAATATGGCCAGAGCAAAGGTCCCGGGGAAACATTCTTAGAAAAAAACTGCGGGGAACTTTCTTAGCAAAAACCGAGTGAAACCTTCTTAGCAAAAACCTCGGGGGACTTTCTTAACAAAAACCGCGGGGAACTTTCTTTGCAAAAACTGCCGTGAAGTTTCTTAGCAAAAACCGCAGGGAAACTGCAAAAACCGGGGGAAACTTTCTTAGCAAAAACCTCGGGGGACTTTCTTAGCAAAAAACCCAAGGAAACTTTCTTATCAAAAACCCAAGGGAACTTTCTTATCAAAAACCCCAGGGGAACTTTCTTAGCAAAAACCTCGGGGAAATTTCTTAGCAAAAACTCCGGTGGAACTTTCTTAGCAAAAACCTCGGGGAGCTTTCTTAGCAAAAACCTCGGGGAACTTTCTTAGCAAAAACTCCCGGGAACTTTCTTAGCAAAAACTGGGAATGAACTCTTGATCTCCTGGTTACAAAACCAAAGCACCCTGGCTCTCTGTTTTACAGTTGAATAGTTCACGGGGTGGGGTGGGGGTGGGGGAGGCTCTTTAGATCATAAGGTCTGTCATTGATTCAAGTGGGGTGGTTCCGGTTTCCAGCCTCTATGTAGTAGGGTGGATTGTCCAAGCTCGTGGACCTTCTCCAGGTCCTCTGGTTTCCACACACTTCAAAATAAAAAAAAATAAAAAAAACCCCAAAAAACCTAAGCACAAGCGAATTATTAAATAAAAATGATCCATATGTTAGTCCTGAAATTACCGATTTTGTTTCCGGTGGACGCTAAACACCATTTCCCCTATCTCTGTCTTGATTTGTTCATATAGGTAAATGACTAGTTTCGGATTAATTTAACTCGACGCACTGTCTCTTCATCAAGTGATAGACGTTAGCGATATTCGTGTTATTATTGATATTAATTCAATATGTTATTGTTATGATTGTCTTGTTTGAATTGTTATCGTAACAATGCGAAGAAAGGTATAGGGCGATTTGTGTATACGTATTTAACACGTTTCAATGACGCGCCAGTTTTGTTGTATGTTTTGTATATATATGTATGTATGTATATTATAAGAGGACTCGAGAGAGTGTATATAAATATATATATATTATTATTACAGTAAGCCTATAAGATGATATTTTGCACTGTACAAAACACACGTGACCCATTCATCGTAATATATCTATTGGAATCTTGTTCTAACCATTAAACCCAAGCTGTACACCAATGAAATTCGACAGTCGATATTAGGGAACCTATATGAATGGGGTGGGTGTGGGTTGGTGCGGACCGATGGGAGACTCGGGGTCGGAGGGGGTAAGATAGAAATTATGGGCAGTTATGTTCATGTATAGCTTGGAGTGTAAGCACAGATAACTCTGATGTTCTTACTTCTATTAAACAGGCCGCAGGGGTCGCTTGAAGTCTATATGGGGGATCCCGGTCATGTCTGAGAAAGTTTATCGGGATTTTCGCAAGACCGAGGTCCAATGTATACAAGATCCCTTCGCAGTTGGAATTCGATATAAGAGTAGGCCATAGAACCGCTGTCCGGGCAAAATGTCCCTCATAGCACACTGTATAGAGTATGTCATTTCTTATAACGAGGGTGTAATACAAATTTGTCAATATTATTTGAGTTTGTCTCCTGGCTAGGATCTATAATGTCTCTCTTTTACTGACAAAACTTTTAGTTTAATTTCAAGTAACTAAAGACACAATCACCCAGATCGTTCAAATATATCACACGTTAAAATGTTGTGCCTTTAACTTTGCCCCAAGAGTTATCTCCCTTGCTGTGCATTCCATTCAAATAGCAACCACGTTTGAAAGAAGAGCGCGCGTCAATGTCTGCTCGTGACAATATGGCCGACAATAAAGCCACAATGGTTATAGAAATATATTGTTATTATCTTCTATTCAATAAGCAACACATATAAACATTAATAAATCTTTATACGAACTTTAACCACTGGACTACTAGAATTGTATACATTGGAATATGACTGAATACTTATTACGATTGTCGCCATTTTGTTTAATAAGTTTTAATAATATTGATATCAATTTTCAGTGTTTCAGTGTTGACCGAAAGGTTACGATTGAAAATGTAAGAAAATGTAAAACGAGGTAGGTAATGATGTTTAGATACGGGTGTAGAAATCTATGTACTTAGACAATATTTATATCCATTCAACTTATTATCCTGAATTGACTTTAGAGGTATACTATTCATAATAACACAACTTGGTTTATGACATGTAAAGTTTCAATACATTCAAGCATTCAACTTGTTTAAACTATATTTGTACACATTATGTTTATTCACCATGTTTCATATATATATAGAGAGAAAGAGGGGTGAGAGAAGGGGTGAGAGAAAGGGTGAGAGAGATGTTAATGCCCACAAACTAGGTCATTAGATCATTTGAGGACTAACACATGGTCTTTAACAGTGGGAGGAAATTGGAGGACCACGAGAAAGCCCACGAGGTTGGACAGGTGCCCCTTCTTCCTATCAGGTACAAGTGGGGAATCCAAATCATGCCACTTGATTTCCATGGCAGACTAAACTATTCGGTCACCTGCAAGACCCCCCCCCCCCCCAAACCTAATGACAATAAGTTGATCCGTGATTGGAAATACTGGATTCTCTATAATATTATATTTCATAGTTATTTGGACGTTAAATTACTTTTTGCGTTCATTTAGAACAACAAGAAATACAAAGAATTGAATCCTTTACATGCAGCAAAAATGGACATTGCCGTTAAGGTGGTGTAGAATGAAAGAATGAAAGCAATATCCGTAGACCAATTCAAATAATTCTTTAATTTTATATTGTTTATCTTTGAAATATTAACTAGATTATTGAAAGATAAGAGAACAGCTACAAACCAGAGAATAAAATGATGTATTCAATTCTATTACCTACGGCCCTACTACTTTTAATACAAAATGTTCACTCGCAGGTAAATATTCTTATGAAATCCCAAGGTGTTTCCAAGACTTCCAATGTGTTTTCCTCAAATAAAAGCAAGTTCATTAATGTGATAACCCTACTTTTATTTAAGATAAAATATGTCCATGCTCTAATTTCAAACAATTACAATGACCACAAAAAAAGTAAATATCATTTTGCGACAGATCCTATACGTCATCAGTAAAGTGTATAACACCAACAATGCATACTCAACATAATGCATATCGTGGCTAAATTAGCGTCAGCAATATGGTGCTTGACGTCATGAATACGGGGTTTAACGTCATCAACACTATGCTTAACGTCATCAATACGGGGTGTAACGTCATTAATGTAGTGCTTAACGTCATCAATATGATGCTTAAAGTTATCAATATTCATCTATTTAATGTCAAATTAATTTGAAACTAAACGTCATCAATATTTGTAATAAAACTAGTTTTTTCATTATTTTTCAGTGCAGATTTTTACGATTATCACCAAATAGTGCTAACTTAGTTGTAACAGAAACAGTTAGTAGACCTCTAGCGTCTATAAAATGTTCCAGTAACGGAACGGCAGCGACGGACGTTGCGGCCGAGTCGTATTATTGTAACGTTGATGTGACTAGTACGAGTCAAACTGGATTGTTTACTACTGCACGAGACTCTAATACTCTGTTACTGGATACCGTGGGAGGTAAGACCGTTTCTTGTATTAGACTAGGGGAGTCACGGTGGCTAAGTGGGTAAGATGCTGGCTCGCTAGTCTGGAGGTAGGGTGTTCGATCCCTGTATTGGCCGAGAAAGTTCATTCAGATTTTCCGACGTGGTCCCCGCTTGTCAGTGATGCAGGACAGCTGTGTAGTCGTTCGGTGCGACGAAAAACCAAGGTTCCGTGTACACTGTCCCTTGACAGTAAGTTGTTAAGCACTGTTAAGCTAAATGATAGAATGAATAGACACTTTTTGATTTATGGTGTGACTATCGCGTTTTGTCAAGAATGCGGATTTTTCTGAACCGTGAAAATGCGTCACGTCTTCCGAGAACGACGACGACTTCACCTCGTTCTCTATTATTTTATAGTCCACGGAAGGGCATGGTTGTAACGGGGGGATAATTACGTGTCTTAGTCCCTCTAAACTATATGGACCAGTAATTCTGCACATTTATAATCCAATATCTTTTAAATGGGGTTTATAGAGGCCTGGCACCGAGTTCACAAAGCATTCTCAGACTTTAGTCAAGAATTTAATCAAAATTGTTCACCTTTTTTTTAACGAAAATGTAGTCCCTTATAAAACTGTTGTTGTTTTAATGTATCAAATACATCAATAAGAAACTGTGCAAAGTTTTGTGTTTCTGAATCAAAAATATTTCTCATAAATAGTGATTGAAAGTTGAGTAAATTCTTAACTTAAGTCTGAGAATGCTTTGTGAACTCGGGGCCAGTGCTGTTCTAAGGAAGACGTGCCTACGTCACGTATTTCTTCATTAGCCTGGTTGATACACAAAAGGACATTGACTCCCTTTTATTTCATTTTGTCTTCAGATTGGCGAGTGATATTTAATTCGGCGAGTTCATTTAATCTTCAATCTGTTGTTGGTACACAGTACAGGGTGAGAATTACTTGTCGTGATGCTACGGATATCTTCTCAAGTCAATCAGTTTTTCAATTTCTCTTCGTTACCATCACACCTAACTTACCTCCTACTATATTCAACTCGCCTGGCGGTAAGTAAATCCTGTTGTATTTGTTGTTGGGGAAGTCTATTGTCAAACTTATTGGGGGAGGGCGAAATTCTTCCAAACCGGGTTAGACACCAACAATCTGATTAAAACACAGATCCTATTTCGTTTCGTTTTTTAGAGTTCAAAATTTCGTTTTACTTGTCTTTATTACACTAAGATCTGGAAGAGTTGTTATACAATCCGCATTCTGGGTGTTTTTGGTGTGATTGATTAATAACTGTCTGACGTCAATAATAATAATAGGTCAAAATCCGCTCGTATGACCCTGACGCGACCTTCCACTACAACCGGACAGACTTCATGTAGTAGAGGCCATCGAAAGTATAAAAAAAAAACGAAACGAAATATAGATCTCTATTTTAACCAGATTCAGACACCACAAGAGTTGGATAATTTCGGTATGTAAATGCCCCCCCCCCCCAAACCCTTCCAACACCGGCCAGAAAATAGAAAACACTTTTTAATAGTATTAACTAACACTCCTCTTAACTTCACAGCTGGAAATAAAAAAACCCAACCCAACCACATGATGTTCAGACATATATCAGTGTTATACACAACAATAGGACGTTAAACCCCATTTCATTTATACACTACAATATTTATATTTAAACAACCCGTTTATTATAAAAGATTAGTTATAGTAATTCTGATATTCTAATATTAATTATAAGTTGATCAGAAGAATAGTTTTATTTCGAATTCAACATCCAGACCCGAGCTTAAATATCAACTTGAGCAATTGAAAGTGTCTGTAAACTTTATAGTAGTGGCCAGTTATCAGTTATGGGGATAAACATTTCTTTAAAATGAAATCAACCACAGACCATAATACTCTGCATCTGTTTTAACATTATCAAACATAGCCTGTATTACGTCCTAAATTTAGGTGTAATAAATCATGTTATATTCTGTATATAGCGACAATAAATTATGTTATCTATATATATATTTGTGACTGTCGTTTGTCTGTCAGTCTGTCTGTGCGGGGTTGGCGGCTACACTAGGTCTGCCCCGAGTCTGAAATTTGGGGTATAGGGTTAGCTCGGACCGGGGAGTAACATAGGCCAGGTGGCGTTAGTCTACCACTTCCGGTTTTGGAGTTATGACCCCGAGCGAAGCCGGTCTGTTCGGGGTTGGCGGCTACACTACGTCTGCCCCGAGTCTGAAATTTGGGGTATAGGGGTAGCTCGGACCGGGGAGTAACATAGGCCAGGTGGCGTTAGTCTACCACTTCCGGTTTCGGAGTTATGACCCCCGAGCGAAGCCGGGTATCCTGCTAGTATTCTATATTTAGCTACAATAAATCATGTTATATCTTATATTTAGCTATAGTAAATCATGTTATATTCTGTATTTAGCGACAATATATGTTATATTGTATGTTAAGCTGTGGTAAATCATGTTATATACCATAAATCATGCTAAATACAATTTAAATACAATAAATCATGTTATATTCTATAATTAGCAGCGATAAATCGTGATATATTCTATATTTAGCTACAATAAATCATGTTATATTCTATATTTAGCTACAATAAATCATGGCATATACAATAAATCATATATGTTCTATTTTTAGCTGTAATAAATCATGTTATATTCTATTTTTAGCTGTAGTATATCATGTTATATTCTATTTTTAGCTGAAGTTAATATGGATGCTAAAGCTACTGGTAAAGGTGTAGTGTTCTACACCCTGACTGTCGACGATTCGGAGAATGATTTCATATCGTACTCACTATCTACAGAACCTAGTGTTAACTACTTCGATCTTGATACAAGTAAGTACCGGGTAACCGGGACTATACCTTCTATCTTGATAAAAGTAAGTACCGGATGACCGGGACTATAACTTAGATTTTGATACAAGTAAGTACCGGATGACCGGGGCTATAACTTCGATCTTGATGAATGTAAGTATCGGTGACCGGGGCTATAACTTCAATCTTATTACAAGTATGTACCGGGTGACAGGGGCTATACGTTTGACAATGGCTTCATATAAAACAAAATGTGTGTCCCACAGATGTTGTGCACAGGGCATGGTATGCTTGTGAATTCTATAATACTGATAAATTAACATATTGAATCAAATTTTGCTTTACTTGGCGATAAATGACGTCATTATTTTCATTAGTATCATCTCTACCGCCTATATTATTTTTAATCTCATATACAGAATAAAATATTGTTTATATGTTTATGTAAACAGGTAAAGAACTTTGTGTTTATTCACGTAAAATCATGACGTCACAAAGTAGTATACGTCAGATTTCTTTAGTAAGACTAGCAATATGTATACATGTATTTCAGGTAACGGGGAGATAAGAACAGCTGTAGATTTAAGGACGGCGACACAAACACCCATATTTGTACGAGTAAACGTTACGGATGGCTATAACACGGTCGGACCATTCTCTATAACTGTTAGATTATCCAGTAAGTTATATCTATTTAAATTTAATATATCCGTCCATTCACCATAACAGTTAGAGTATCCAGTACGTTATATCAATTAACATTTAATATATTACGACCTGATATAACGTAATCGGTCCATTCGTTATAACAGTTAGATTATCCAGTAACATTTAATATATCTCGGTCTGATTGGTCGGTATCAACTAAACTATGAATATCAATGCCATCAACGCATATTTAATCACCCTAGTAACCCTACGTCAATCTGGCTGGTAAATGAGGGTGAAGATTGCATTCGTGTGACAGCCAAATTCATTAATACAATTTTATCATAAGGACCACAGTTAATTCGGTTCGTGTGTTTTTTATTACGGGGACCACGGCTAATTCAATTGCATTTCATTACGGGGACCACAGCTAATTGTATTTTATTACGAGGGCCACTTTTAATTCAGTTGAATTTTATTACGGGGACCACAGCTAATTCAGTGAATTATATCTTCTCTATTCAAAGATCTTAACACGAGACCTGATATTGTAAATCTACCCACATCAGTTGAAATAAGAGAGGATGCTGTCGGAGGTGTTATTGTTAGTGCCCTAACTGTCAGTGACCCGGATGTCTTCTCAACCAGTCAATCTGCCCTTACTCCAGTCTGTTCCGTCTCACCATTATCTGGACAGTCAAAGTTTGACCAAAAAGGTAAATATAGTTTAATAATTCGCTTGCGTTTAGAGGTCTTTAGCAGTGGGAGGAAACCGGAGACACCGGAGAAAACTCACGAGGTTAGTCAGGCAACCCTACTCCTTGTCACGTACAACCAGGGACTAACATATGGTTTAATTTTATTTCAATCATTCGCATTGCGCGTAGGGTGTCTTTAGCAGTGGGAGGAAACCGGAGGCCCTGGGGGAAACCCACAAGGTTTTACAGTATACCCTACTCGTTGTCACGCACAACCGGGGAATCGAAACCACGCCAGTTGACTCAATGACAGACCTTATGATGCAGCGTGCACGCGCTAACCATTCACCCATACAACCCCTCATCCAGATTATCTGGATATTTCTTTGAGTGACATTTAGTAATTGAACAGCAAGACACTAAAAACTATTTATAGAATAACAATTACAGGTTTATTCAAATGCAACGTTTAAATGATAGTCGGTAGTAGTATATTATATAGAAATCATTTATTTTAAGGTAACGCGGGAGCCACGGTGGCTAAGTTTTATAAGACGCTGGCTCGCTAGCCTGGAGGTCGCGGGTTCCCTCCCGGTGTTGACCGAGAATGTTTATCGGGATTTTCCGGCGTGGTTTCCCCTTGTTAGAGGTCCAAACAAGGACAGCTGTCTAGTCTTTCGGATGTGACGAAAAACTGAGGTCCGTATACACATTGGCATGCACGTAAAACATATCTTGGCAATTGGAATTTGATATAATAGTAGACCGTAGCGCCGGTGTCCGGGAAAAATTTCCGTCATAGCACACTGTGTGGCGTATGCCCGTCTTCATTAGCCCGGTCGGAGTAGAACAGTAGGACGTTAAACCCCATTTCATTTCATTTTTAAGGTCATTTCATTTTTTAAGGTAATGTTATACGAACGACCAGTTTCACCCCTGAACAAGATATCTTTGATTTTGAGGAGACCCGATCTTATAATATATCATGTTCTGTAACCGATGGCTTCCTGTCTTCCGTTAATGAATGGATACTGGTTAATATTTCTAATGTGAACGAACCTCCAGTCTTTAATGAGATTATATATTACTGTAATTTGGTAGAATCTAAGGTAAGTCAATATCCATTTTACTTTGTAGTCATATATATATCTTTACTATTTTGGAAGAGAGAGAGAGAGGGATGGGGTTTAACATCCACTCGACACAAAATAGGTCATTTCGGGACTAACATATGGTTCAGTTTTATTTCAATAATTCGCTTGCGCGTAGGGGTCTTTAACAACAGTGGGAGGAAACCGGAGAAAACCCACGAGGTTGGACTTGTCACGACTATTTTGGAAAGTTGACCTGATTCCAAAATGATTTCATAATATGTCTTTACTGTTTTAGAAAGTTGACCCGATTCCAAATTGATTTCATATCATTGGACATGATTTCATATCATTGGACATGATTTCATATCATTGGACATAGAGAGAGCTCGATGCCAGATATTTTCTTTATGCATGATTTACGACCTCGTTTTGACGTCACCTTGTTCGACAATTTAGAAACCGATGATTTTTATCAATACGAATGTCAATTTGTCCACCAATATTTTGTTTTTCAGGCAGGCGACTCATCGTGTGACTTGGGGTTCAACATTCGTGACCCGGAATCAAATGCTTACTCCATTACTCTGTTGCCTGGTAACAATAGTAATCGTTTTGCGCTGAGCAACAGCAACAATAACAACAATGGCTTCCTTAACAGCAACCAGAGGTTGACCTTTAACATTGATTATGACGTAGATGAAGCCCAGTTACCGACCAGTGTGCTTTTAACCGTGGCAGCGATTGATACAATTGGCGCTACTGGTACTGCCAGGATTTCTATAAGTATTGCTGATGCCAATGATAACTCGCCTACATTTAGCACGGTTCTAGCCTCACTTGATGTAGATTACAATACCAAAATAGGTAAATATGTAGATTACATTACCATATTAGGTAAATATATAAATTACATTACCAAATTAGGTAAATATCTAAATTACATTACCATATTAGGTAAATATGTAGATTACATTACCATATTAGGTAAATATGTAGATTACAATACCCAATTAGGTAAATATGTAGACTACATTACCAAATTAGGTACATATGTAGATTACAATACCATATTGTAATTCATTCATAACATTGCAAAATTAGGTAAATATTACAATTTATTCATTGCAATACCAAATTAGGTAAATATTATAATCTATTTATTACATTACCAAATAAGGTAAATATTATAATCTATTTATCACATTACCAAATTAGGTAAATATTATGATTTATTCATTACATTACCATAATAGGTATAATTCATTCATTACATTACAAAATTGGGTAAATAGTACCGTATAATTCATTCATTACATTACCAAATTAGGTAAATATTATAATTTATTCATAACAATACCACTGATGTAAATTACACTTCCAAACCAGGGCCCTGTTTCACAAAATTTTAACTAAAGTTAGAATCCAGATTTTAGTAGAGACTTCAATTTTGATTGGCTAAGCACTAAAATCAATCTAATATTATCCAATCAAATTACTAAAATTTGGATTTTATCTTAGTTAAAATTTCGTGAAACAAGCCCCATGTTACTAATTCATTGGTCACAAGTTTACAACCCAATCATGTAGATTTCATTGCCAAATTAGGTTAATATTACAAACCTTTCATGTAGGCTAAATTACAATTCCAAATTTGATAATATTATTACAACCACTTATGTCGTTTAGGTTAATATTACAACCCATTCATGCAGTTTACAATATCAAATTAGCTAATTATTACAATCCATTCATTTAGACTACAATACCAAATACGTAATTATTACAACCAATTCATTTAGACTACAATACCAAATTAGCTAATTATTACAACCAATTCAGGCAAATTACAATACCAAATTAGGTAATTATTACTATTCATTGTAAATATTACAACTCGCTGATGTAAATTGCATTACCAAATTAGGTAATGTTACAACCACCAATGTCGATTGGGGGGTTGGATGGCCGAATGGCTAGCACGCTCGCGCTGTATCATAAGGCCTGTCATTGAGTCAACTGGCATGGTTTCGAATCCCCGGTTGTACGTGACAAGGAGTAGGGTCGCCTGTCCAACCTCGTGGGTTTTCTCCGGGTCCTCCGGTTTCCTCCCACTGCTAAAGACCCCTACGCGCACGCGAATTATTGAAATAAAATTAAACCATATGTAAGTCCCGAAATGACCTAGTTTGTGTCGAGTGGACGTTAAACCCCATTTCTCTCTCTCTCCAATGTCGATTACAATACCAAATTATACATAGGTAAACTGATGTTATAGAAAGTTGATCTATAGACTGTTTTATTTTTATATACAGGAATTGTTGGTGCTATAACAGCTACAGACAAAGACAGAGGAACAAATGGAGAAATAGACTATACTTTACTTGACGTTATTCCGCCCAATTATGTGACGTATGTGTTTGCACTGGGTTAGTATCTTTTAGTTCAGAAGACAAGCGGTTAATGAAATGAATCGAAATGAAATGAAATGAAATGGGGTTTAACGTCCTACTGTTCTGCTCCAAACTGGGCTAATGAAGACGGGCATACGCCATAGAGTGTGCTATGAGGGAAATTTTGCCCGGACAGCGGCGCTACGGCCTACTCTTATTTCGAATTCGAACTGTCAAGGGATCTTTTACGTGCACGCCAATGTGTACACGTTGATGATATGGGTAGTGGTTTGGATACTAATATGTCTGATAGTAGCCTGGCGGTTGGATGGCCGAATGGTTAGCACGTGCGCGCTGTATCATAAGGTCTGTCATTCAGTCAACTGACGTGGTTTCGATTCCCTGGTTGTACATGGCAAGGAGTAGGGTTGTCTGTCCAACCTCGTGGGTTTTCTCCGGGTCCTCCGGTTTCCTCCCACTGCTAAAGATCAATATGCGCAAGCAAATTATTGCAATAAAATTGAACCATGTGTGAGTCCCGAAATGACCTAGTTTGTGCCAAGTGGACGTTAACCCCCCCCCCCCTCTGTCTACCTCTCTCTGATAAAATGATTATTTTATTTTAAAGGTAATGGTGAGATACAATATGCTAAACAATATGATGATACTATAGCTGGTAGTAGTGCCTTTCTTACCATACGAGCTGTTGATAGAGGGAGCCCTAGACGATCTTCTACAGGTAAGGTCCCTAGCTGGTAGTAGTGCCTTTCTGACCATACGAGCTGTTGATAGAGGTAGCCCTAGACGATCTTCTACAGGTAAGGTCCCTAGCTGGTAGTAGTGCCTTTCTTACCATACCAGCTGTTGATAGAGGTAGCCCTAGACGATCTTCTACAGGTAAGGTCCCTAGCTGGTAGTAGTACCTTTCTGACCATACGAGCTGTTGATAGAGGTAGCCCTAGACGATCTTCTACAGGTAAGATCCCTAGCTGGTAGTAGTACCTTTCTGACCATACCAGTCACGTTATAATATTCAAAAGAGCCTGGTTGTTGTGACGTAATACAAAGAATCCGGGCGTGGGTTCAAAAGAAACTTGTTGGTGTTTGTAATAGGTCGGGTGGGACTAGATAGTAAAATCGGGCGTGTGCGTTAAATATCCCTCGGCAGTTGAAAATCCAAGAAAACTAGGGAAAATGTCACTCTACGTGTTCGTTAGCTTGATAATTTACAATATGAATACTGAATTGATAGTCATATTCTTTCTTAAACAGGTACCATTGCTGTATCATTCCTTGCAACTACGACAACGTCGACCACAATGACAACGACCCCGACTACCACTACACCTACTACTACGACCACAGTAGCTACAACAACTACTACAGAGTATAATTTTTTTGCCCATCCAGAGAACATCGTGTTATTTTCAGCCTTTCTGATAGCCATGATTATAGCTTTACTTGTAGCTCTGTTTTTCTGTGTGAGGTTAACGACATTAGGATATTGTTGTTCACCCAGGTAAATACAACAACAGGTTCCAAGTCACCTAAATAAAATATCGTCATATGGGGATCGGGAGGGGGAAGTGGGAGGGAGGGGGGTTGTCATGGTACTGGGAATATGTTGTTTATCGCGCGCGCTGTAGTTTAAGGGCCTGTTAATATATATTTGGGTTACCTCAGAAAAAATCATCAACAAGTATCTTCAATCACTCTCCGACCCCTCCCACGGTTTCAGTCTCTAACCCCTCCCACGGAATCACACCCCGACCCCTCCGACGGAATTACTTCCCGAACCCTCCAACGGCATCACTCCCCGACCCCTTCCACGGTTTCACTCTCCGACCCCTCCCACGGAATCACTCCCCGACCCCTCCGACGGAATTACTCTCCGACCCCTCCGACGGAATCACTCTCCGTCTCTCCCACGGAATCACTCTCCGACCCCTCCCACGGTTTCACTCTCCGTCTCTCCCACGGAATCACTCTCCGACCTCTCCCACGGAATCACTCTCCGATCCCTCCCACGGTTTCACTCTCCGTCTCTCCCACGGAATCACTCTCCGACCGCTCCCACGGTTTCACTCTCCGACCTCTCCCACGGAATCACTCTCCGATCCCTCCCACGGTTTCACTCTCCGTCTCTCCCACGGTTTCACTCTCCGTCTCTCCCACGGAATCACTCTCCGACCCCTCCCACGGTTTCACTCTCCGACCTCTCCCACGGAATCACTCTCCGATCCCTCCCACGGTTTCACTCTCCGTCTCTCCAACGGAATCACTCTCCGTCTCTCCCACGGAATCACTCCCCGACCCCTCCGACCCCTCCGACGGAATCACTCTCCGTCTCTCCCACGGAATCACTCTCCGTCTCTCCCACGGTTTCACTCTCCGTCTCTCCCACGGAATCACTCTCCGACCTCTCCCACGGAATCACTCCCCGTCTCTCCCACGGAATCACTCTCCAACCCCTCCCACGGAATCACTCCCCGTCTCTCCCACGGAATCACTCTCCGACCCCTCCCACGGTTTCACTCTCCGACCTCTCCCACGGAATCACTCTCCGTCTCTCCCACGGAATCACTCTCCGGCCCCTCCCACGGAATCACTCCCCGTCTCTCCCACGGAATCACTCTCCGACCCCTCCCACGGAATCACTCTCCGACCCCTTCCACGGTTTCACTCTCCGACCTCTCCCACGGAATCACTCTCCGATCCCTCCTACGGTTTCACTCTCCGACCTCTCCCACGGAATCACTCTCCGGCCCCTCCCACGGTTTCACTCTCCGACCTCTCCCACGGAATCACTCTCCGACCTCTCCCACGGAATCACTCTCCGTCTCTCCCACGGAATCACTCTCCGATCCCTCCCACATTTTCACTCTCCGACCTCTCCCACGGAACCACTCTCCGATCCCTCCCACGGACACGCCACCGATTACATGGTAATAGTTAACTGATGATAATTTTAATTTATTTCAGTGAAGGAAATGACAAACCATCAGATGATTAGTAAGTAACTTGTTGTTGTTCTTATTGCTTAACGTCCGCTTCCACCCACGGTTATATCGCAGACAAGTTGTCTTATTTTCATTTTTATTATCTTAGCGCATTCGTAGGGATTGAGAAGGCGCCCCCTATCCCCAAGCCACATACGCTCACACTAGGGATCGAAGCCACAATTGCAAGCCAGACGTGACCGGCCAGCTAAAGCTCGAATCGCGACCCCCCCCCCTTAAAACCTGTATTAGTGAGTTAATTTATCCTAGGAGTCACAGTGGCTCAGTGCCTTGCTGGAGGCCCAGTGTTCGATCGCTTGGTTAAACGAGAACGTAAAACGAGGGCCTTGAAAGCGGCAACGTCGTTCGGATGGGACGAAAAACCGAAGTCCCGTGCACACATTGGCGTGTACGTAAAAAAAACCTTGACAGTTGGAATTTGATATGATTCCCCAAATACGCACTGTATAGCGTACGCCCGTCTTCATTATCCTGGTCGGCGCAGAACAGTAGGACGTTAAATCCCATTTCATTTCATTTTTATTTTTGTAAACCATTTGATCGCTTCTGTTTCGTTTCGTTTTTTATAGTTCAAAATTTCGTTTCGTTTCTTTATAGTTTCGTTTCTTTATAGTCCAAAACTTCGTTTCGTTTCTTTATAGTCCAAAACTTCGTTTCGTTTTTCATAGTTCAGAATTTCGTTTCGTTTCTTTATAGTCCAAAATTTTGTTTCGTTTTTATTATAGTTCAAAATTTCGTATCGTTTTTTTTTATAGTTCAAAGTACGTATAACGGGTCTTGACTACACTAAGATCTGGAAGTGTTATTATATTACCGGCGTTCTGGTTGAAGTGGGGGATAAGCCAATGAAACGGTCTGTTACGGCGAGTTCTTGGCGTGCTCTGCATGGAATTGTGGGTAAACCCCTAGAAACATCAACGCTCATTAATTAATCAATGACTGACAAACAGGGTCAAAAGCCGCTCGTACGACCCCCGGCGCGATCTCCTAGATCTTCATCTAGTGTAGGCCATTGAAAGTATAAAAAAACAACAAAATGAAATATAGATTTGTATTTTAATGAGATTGTGATCGCTTCAAACCAAAACGAAAACCACATTGAGTAAATACATTAATTTTATTTGAACATTTTCAGTGAGTATTATTCGAGAGAAGGGTCCATGGCTTACGATGATGGATATAGGGGCAAATCAGGTAGGATATACAATATTTTCAGTGAGTATTATTCAGGGTGCATGGCTTACGATGATGGATATAGGGGCAAATCAGGTATGATGTACCATATATGGCTCACTGGCGCCAAGCATATATATTTATATGTTTGACAAAGTCGCGAGAGACCAGGAGCAATAACATATTCATTCTGTTGGTACTTATGGACAAGGGGTGACGACTGTGGGGTGGGATGGGGCGGGGCTATGCATTGGACTCATGACCATAGCAGTGAAAATGATTGCATGTATGCTAGTCCCAAAATGACCTATCCATTTCTAGTCGTTTCATTGGACCCAAAATCTGAGGTCCGTCTGGGGAACTACAGAACACAGACTGTGTCCACATGGACCAAGATAACTACAACCACAGACTGTCACTTACATGCTCACATGGACCAGCATAAGTACAGGGCACAGACTGTTACCCCATGAACGAAATGAAAAACACAAAATTAACACAAATCCCAAAACTAGCCGTACTCCATAGGAACTTTGTTTTTACCAGTACAGTAGCTAGTCACCCTTTTACCTGGGATATCACCTGTACAGTAGCTAGTCACCCATTTACCTGGGATATCACCTGTACAGTAGCTGGTCACCCATTTACCTGGGATATCACCTGTACAGTAGCTGGTCACCCATTTACCTGGGATATCACCTGTACAGTAGCTAGTCACCCTTTTACCTGGGATATCACCAGTAGAGTAGCTAGTCACCCTTTTACCTGGGATATTACCTAGAGAGTAGCTAGTCACCTTTTTACCTGGGATATCACCAGTACAGTAGCTAGTCACCCTTTTACCTGGGATATTACCTAGAGAGTAGCTAGTCACCTTTTTACCTGGGATATTACCTGTACTTAGCTAGTCACCTTTTTACCTGGGATATTACCTGTACTTAGCTAGTCACCTTTTTACCTGGGATATTACCTGTACTTAGCTAGTCACCTTTTTACCTGGGATATTACCTAGAGAGTAGCTAGTCACCTTTTTACCTGGGATATTACCTGTACTTAGCTAGTCACCTTTTTACCTGGGATATTACCTGTACTTAGCTAGTCATCCTAGAGCTACATATTCTCTATAGTTTCTTTTAGTAACAGGGGGTTGGATGGCCAAATGATTAGCACGTGTGCGATGTATCATAAGGTCTGTCATTGAGTCAACTAGCGTGGTTTCAATTCACCACTTGTACGTGACAAGGAGTAGGGTCGCATGTCCACCCTCGTGTGTTTTCTACTGGTCATTAGGTTTCCTCCCCAGTAATAGATATTATGTGTATGTTTTAAATTGTATTACAGATTATTTTGATAACCAGTTTTCACGAGGTGGGATGGCACCAAACAGAAATTTAGGACAGACAGGTCGACCTCTGCCAGCAATAAGATGAAAATATTAACAATTTATTAGTTTATGTAAATAAAATGTACATATTGCCTTAGACTTATATTAAAAATGTACAAATTGTTCTAGACTACTATTAAAATGTACAAACTGATCTAGACTACAATTAAAAATGTACAAATTGATCACGATTTCCATTAAAAATGTAAAAATTGATCTAGACTATTATTAAAATGTACAAATTGACCTAGGCTAGTAATAATAATGTACAAATTGATCTAGACTACAATTAAAAATGTACAAATTGATCTAGACTACAATTAAAAATGTACATATTGATCTAGACTACTATTAAAATGTACAAATTGACCTAGACTACCATTGACTTACTATTATAATGGTACATATTTAGTTAGCTGGATCTAATTAAAGTAGTAATATTTTATCAACCAGTCTCTCTTGTGGAAAAATCAAATCACATTATGGTCGCCATTTCTAAAATAAAGACTTGCGATGTAAAGGAAGACGACACTCGGCTCAGTAACGACTTTAACGTATAAACTGTCAGTGGCATATATCTAAGGGGGTGGGGTGGGAGATGGATGGCCGAATATTTAGCACGTGCGCGCTGTATTATAAGGTCTGTCATAAGTTTTCGATTCTCCGGTTGGCCTGATGTGTACGCTTTAGATCATAAGGCGAGTTATTGGGTAAAGTGGCGTGCTTTCGATTCCCAGCTTATACGTGACATGGAGTATGGTAGTCTGTCCAACCTCGTGGGTCCTCCGCCCATCCCATGCACCTGCTAAAGACGCTTACGCGTAAAAGAATTATTGAAATAACATTTAACAATATGTTATTCCCGAAATGGCCTAGTTTGTGTCGAGTGAGAGAGAGAGAGAAATGGGGTTTAACGTCCACTCGACACAAACTAGGTCATTTCGGGAATAACATATTGTTAAATGTTATTTCATTAATTCGCTTGCGCGTAGGGTTCTTTAGCAGTGAGAGGAAACCGGAGGACCCGGAGAAAACCCACGAGGTTGGGCAGGCGACCCTACTCCTTGTCACGTATAACCGGGGATTCGAAACCACGCCAGTTGACTCAATACAATGACAGGCCGTACGATACAGCACGCACGTGCTAACCATTCGGCCATCCAACCCCCCCTGTGTCGAGTGGAGTGATCCTCAGATGTCCATATGTTAGTCCTGAAATCATCTAGGTTGTGCCGTGTGAACGTTTCGCCCTTTTCTGTTTAACCTTCGAGACTGCTAAAATAAATATAAGTTTGTGGGCAGAAGACATCAAAATACTATTAGTAATAATTATCTCCCTTTGACTGCAGTTTGGTCCAGTCTTTTTGTATTACTAATAGTAAATGCAATACACACCAACACATATGGAAAAACAGCTACTGATTTATTTGGGCGACGTTTCAAAGAGTATTCCCTCAACGTTATCAAGCTAATACAGTAATACAAATATTATGAGGCTAATATATTACTGTATAAGCTTGATAACGTTGAGGGAATACGTAGCTGTTTTTCCTTAAGTATGTGTTATAATTTATTGTTCTATCCAGTTAAGAGGAGTGGGGGTGGGGGTGGGGTGGGGTGGATGGTCGAATGGTTAGCACGTGCGCTTATCATCAAATAGAAAGTAGCATTTCTTTCAGATTTATTGTACGTGTACTGTACAGGGGCGGATCCAGAAGAGGGCGAGGGGTTGGGGTCCAATCCCACCCCCTGCTAAGCTATATAAAAATTTTGTAAAACAACACTTTTTATGAGAAAGGTGTCACGATAGTGTGCTTTATCCTTTATCATCAGATGGTGGGATGAGATGGGCATTCAAAGTGCGAGATAATGATATAGACATATGTGATATCATAATTAATGCTTTGCATCAATCAAATTGAATCACAATGTGATAATATTAATTCATAATAAATAAATGACGTCAAACTGGGTGTTTGATTTCTGTCTTTGAAAAGCTCAGTGACCCCCCGCCCCTTACAAAGATACATTGTCTTAGGAACCTGCCCCGCCCCCCTCACCCTTCCAGGCAAAAATTCCTGCATCCACCCCTGGCTGTTTGTTTGTTCATTTCATTTCATTTAAATACACATAACAACAAACCTTACATTACGTTAGCCTATCATGCTACTTATGACGTCTTTAATCAACCATTTTCTACCCCGTCACTTCCGGGGTCACGAAATAACGGTGAAAGAACAGTGATCTACGTATTCTCCGTAATGTTCAACTTAAAGGTTGTGTTTGCAAATTATATAAAAACAAAGTTAGACCATTACTCCCTTTCCAAACAAATAAACAATACACGTGGCGTGGTTTCGAATCCCCGGTTGTACGTGACAAGGAGTAGGGTCGCCTGTCCAACCTCGTGGGTTTTCTCCAGGTCCTCCGGTTTCCTCCCACTGCTAAAGAACCCTACGCTAAAGCGAATTATTGAAATAAAATTAAACCATATGTTAGTCCCGTAATGACATAGTTTGTGTCCAGTGGATGTTAAACCCCATCGCTCTCTCTCCCCCCCTCTCTCTCTCTCTCTCTCTCTCTCTTTCTCTCTCTCTCTCTCACTCATCAGTAAAAACAGCAATATAATACGATTTTTATTTTTGAATCGAAAACGTTGTCTAAAACACCCAATATCTAAGCCTCCCGATAGTCAGGGTGGGGGGAGGTGCTATGTGAATAAATGAATAAATATTTATTTATATAGCATTTGAAAATAGAAAAAAAGAACTCTGAAAAACAATATTCCTGTCAGGGCCCGAGACAGGGACATCCTTGGACAAGCAACTCGGCGAGGGAAGGTCCGGGATGGCGATGGTCGTTCTACAGGTCATAAGTTTGAGGCGGAAAGATAAATGACTTAAGTGGTAAGTTTCCATGGTGAAGCTCCTATAGCCCCTAGTGGTCTAGGGTGTCGCGCTTCGACCTCTAGCTGACCGGTCACCTCATTGCGGGTGTGGTTTCGATCCCTGGTGTGAGCGTATGTGGCTTGGAGATTGCGGCGTCTTCTCAACCTTGTGGGTTTACTCCGGGTACTCCAGTTTCCTCCCACAGAAAAGATAATAGAGATGAAAATAAGACACCTTGTCTGCGATTTCACCTTCGGTGGAAGCGGACGTTAAACACTTAAAGGCTCATTACCACTCTTGTTGTAACTAAATAATATGTCCCAATCTTTATTCTGGTCAACAAATTGTACTATTTTACAATATTCCAATTAATTGATGATACAAATTTCATCTTAACACACCTAATTTAAAAAATTGGAAAAATTCAACTAAATGATTTGAAAAGCCTAACGTAAACCTTTTCAAATGTGACTTGGATTTAAAAATATTTTCGAACCCTCTAGACAAGTAAAATAGGATGTAATGGATAATTTACACAACAGGTAGGACACTTAAACATCTAGTACTTATAATAAGGCTATTATTTATTTTCTGGAGCTGTCAAGCCAGCAAGAGTGTTATTGTCCCTTTAAGAACAATAACACGTTGTGTCATTTGCAGTAGAAAGCTGTAATCCTGACTTGTGTCGTCTGCTTTATAATTATGTTAATAGTAGCACGCGATCTGTTTAAGGTTACTAAAAATAGCGCAACTCCGCTTTATGTGTAATAGTTCATTATTATTATCTCGGCTATTTTGTTCACAACTGTCAGTGCGCAGTTTACTGATAGTCCGTACTCTCCACAGATTTGGCCCATTGATTTTCATTTTCACCTATACCGAATAAGCCGAATACAGTGTCCTGGGGTAAAAAAATGAAATGAAATGAAATGGGGTTTCACGTCCTACTGTTCTGCTCCGAACTGGGCTAGTGAAGACGGGTATACGCCATACAGTGTGCCATGCGGGTAATTTTGCCCGGACAGCGGCACTACGGCCTACTCTTATATCGAATTCCATCTGTCAAGGCCCAAGAGATTCTTTACGCGCACGCCAATGTGTACACGGGACCTCGGTTTTTCGTCCCATCCGAACGACTAGACAGCTGTCCTTGTCAGGCCCTCCGTCCTGCATCACTGACAAGGGGGAATCACGCCGGAAAATCTGGATGAACTTTCTGCAGGGATCGAACACCCGACCTCCAGGCTAGCGAGCCAGCGTCTTACCCACTTAGCCACCGTGATCCCCCTGCCTCGAGGTAACTAGACCAGTAAGACAAGATGTACACTGCTAAAGATTCTTACGCACGAGCGAAATACTGAAAGAAAATTTAACCATATTTTATATTCCCGAATTGACCTAGTTTGTCTCTCTCTGTCCAACCTCGTGAGTTTTCTCCGGGTACTCCGGTTTCCTCCCACTGCTAACGACCCTTATGCGCCAGCGAATTATTGAAGTAAAATTGAACCATATGTTATAGTGTCCCGAAACGACCTAGTTTGTGTCGAGTGGACGTTAAACCTCCCCTCCCTCTCTCTCTCTATCTCTCTCTCTCTCGCTCTCGCTCTCTCTCTATCTCTCTATCTCTATCTATTTACCAACACCTCTCTTCTCTCCGGTTTATTTTTCTTATCGATGTAAGCGGTGGACACGCTAGCCCAGTGATTCTCAACCGGTGTACCACTTCCTAAGTGTGCCGCGACATTTTGAACGGCACACTTAGAAAATTTCTCACTAAAGAAGCCAGCTATTTGACTGATGAAATGCGAAGCACCGCAATAAATTAATAGCTGTGTTTTTCTTTATTTAGTTTGAGTCATTCTATGTGTCTATAACTAGTCTGTGTCTACGGTTGTATGCCGCCTATGGCTTGCCATGTTTTTATTTTGCAAAATTCAAATATTTTTCATATATATTTAGCCAGATGTGCCGCTATTTTTTTTGCATGTGTTCCAAGGTGTGCCGTTTTTTTTTATCAAAATTGAGTTAGGACCAAATTTGTAGTTTCTAGAGTATGTGCTTCCTGTTGTTGTACTAGATATTTTAATCTTTTGATTTTGTAAGCAGTTACACCCATGACACAATCTAGCAACTTCCTTCATTTGCCTAGTATGCCACAGAAAAACCCAATAACTTAATAGTCAAATCAGTGGATAAGCTGGGATTTAATATTCATTTCATTTCACGTTTTCCTTTGTTTTCTCAAAATAAGAAAAACGTGAGTTACTAGGTGTTGCCATTTGACGAGAGAGTGTCATTCGGCCGAACTTTAAATGACTAATTTATATTCCTTCCATTTCGATGACGTCATGCATTCTGCACACAGATCCGTCTACTTCATACTTCAGGAACAGATCTCCGCCCTGAACGGCCGCCATATCCCCAAAATAGTATACTATTGTTTAATGCGTTTCTTCCCCGTTTCACATCTTTCATACACACAACACAAAGCCTGAATAAACTTTTCAGTTTTATACTAGTGATTGCTACAAAAATCGTCGATTTAGAACTTAAAATGTCGGTCAACTAGCTTAATGGCTGTTCTCAAGCAGGGCTAATTGTAGGCAGACAGCGTAAGTTAAGTATGGAAAAGTGGGTGTGAATTGTTGATAAATAGGAATGTATAATGTTATCAAAATACACAATGTTTCATAATCCACTTTTATCAGCTTACATTGTACGTGACAAGGAGTAGGGTCGCCTGTCCATCCTCGTGGGTTTTCTCCGGGTCCTCCGGTTTCCTCCCACTGCTAAAGACCCCTACGCGCAAGCGAATTATTGAAATAAAATTGAACCATTCAGCCATACCCCCCCCCCCCCGTCGATTTACTTTTTTAAATGTCGGTCAACTAGTAATTAGTGTCTGTTCTCAACCGGAGCTAACTGTAGACAGACAATTATGGAAGTTATGTTGAAATTATCAAGATTATGTTTTACTATAAATAACACCCACGTGGTGATATGTCACAAACGTGATTTTAAAAATACCAAATGTCTTATAAATGCAATATTTTACATATTCAAGGTGACATGTTACACAGGTAGTCTTCTATTATGTACAGGGTGGGGTGGATGGTTAAACTCTCTGCGATATCACCTCAGTGGAAGCGGACATAAAATACAACCAAGTAACTCACAAATTTGATATATCCAAACTTATTAGAACAACCGTAAAGCTGCACTACTTTGTTTCACGGTAAATGATGAAAAGATAAAGTAAAAGGTATGCCGACACAAACTGATTTCAACACCGGTTTAATAACATTTTAACATTTTAAAGTACTTTTCGTCCGTCTTGGGACTATTCATATATAATGTCATTGTATAAAGCTGGGCAGTATAGTATTTTTTTATACATATTTACATAGTAACACTATATATATATGGTATATAACACAGTAATATAGATATTTGACTGGTATGTGTGATACATGTATATAAATAATTAACGAGTTAACAGTGGATTTAGATACACGCGGAAGTTTAACCTACTTGTGTACAGTTCTAGCTCTATAATCATTACTAATGGCTTTAACTGATTTTAAGATACATTATGTAAGATTGAGATATATTAGATAATAGTTCAAAAATTACTTTATTGTAGTTTTGGTTTGACAAGATGTGTGCACTGATTGTTGATTATCGTAACCACAGTAGTGGTATATTCGAGACTTCCAGATTTTGCGTTTAGTAGTTAAAACATACTATATTACGGTCATCTACAAAGATAGTGAATCTTATAAATATACTAGTTTCTCACAGAGAGAGAGAGAGAGAGAGAGAGAGAGAGAGAGGGGCGTTAAACGTCCACTAGAACCTAGAGACGTGTTTAACGTCCAAAGTAGGCCATTTGGGGACGAACACATTGTTCAATTTTATTTCAATAATTCGCTTCAATAATTTCACGTTCAAGCGGGAAATCGAAACCAAGCCACAAAGGGCATTAGTCAAAAAACCGTACCGGAGATTAAAAACTAATACATTTGACATTTAGTATAATAAAAACATGATTAATTATTTTTTATGGTGTGCAAAGATTTATTGTCGCTTTAAGGTAACAAAATGAAAATATAATAATTTAAAGTGGAAGGAGACTAGAAACTCGCCCACCCCTCCACTTCCATCCCCCCTTTCCCCCACTCCCTTCGATGCACTCGCCCCACATCCATCCACCCTTCTCCCTCGATTTCTTCCTCCACGTTGGGGGCGGGGTTGGATGGCCGAATGGTTAGCACGTGCGCGCTGTATCATAAGGTCTGTCATTGAGTCAGCTGTCGTGGTTTCGATTCCCCGGTTGTACGTGACATGGAGTAGGGTCGATTGTCCAACCTCGTGGGTTTTCTCCCACTGCTAAAGACCCTTATGCGGAAGAGAATTATTAATATGAAATTGAACCATATGTTTGTCCCGAAATGACCTGGCTTGTGTCGAGTGGACGTTTAACCCATCTCTCTCTCTCTCTCTCTCTCTCCCTCTCCCTCCTCCTCCACGCCCATCCGCCCATCAGGGTTAGACATCAGGTAAGGCCCAGTTTTAGAAATGTCGCTTTAAATTGATGAATAGATTACATGATAGATCCCGGATTATCCCTTTAAATTGGTGAATAGATTACATGATAGATCCCGGATTGTCCCTTTAATTTGGTGAAATATAAATCATATCTGACACGACCCGGATTGTCCCTTTAAATTGGTGAATAAATCATATCTGACAGGACCCGGAATGTTGCTTTTAATTGATGTCTAGATCATATGGCAAAATGTCCCTTTAAGATGAGATTGTAGTGATATGGAGTATGAACACGGAATGTTGCTTTTAATTGATGTCTTGATCATATGGCAGAATGTCCCTTTAAGATGAGATAGTAGTAATACGGAGTATGAACACGGAAGTAAACTGACTTGGTTAGAAGACAGCTAGTCATACTAGCTCTATAACGTTAATATAGCGCAGGAGAGTTGCAGACGCGTTGCAGACACCGAACGGCATTCAGTTCAACTGTGAAACAACATCTGGATTATTAAAGTTGATGAAAGTTTAAATTATAGTGCGGTGGATCTAAATGAGTTGTGTGGTTTGATGCTATATTGGGCGGTTTATGTATGAAGGTTTGTCACAGTTTGTAGTATAGTTCGGTTTATAAATAACATCATACAAAGTGGGCAGAGTGTATATAATACTAACATTCTTACGTCAATAAACTGTTGATTTCAATAATGATGTTATGAGGAGCAGTGACCTATTTGTGATAATAGACCGTGTTTACATGTTTTAGCATACCAACGTATTAGCTGAATTATTTATCAAATTGTTTATCATTGGGTAGGAACTATCAAAGGGAAATCCTCGAGACAGTATAGTCGTTGGACATTGTGAAGTCATTATTGGTGAATTTGAATTAATGAATTACATTGGTGTGTGATATTATAACGTTATTGCAGTGAAGTTTTACAGGAGGTTATTGCAGTGAAATATAACAGTAGAATTGTCAGAGTATCTCCTGGTACTGTTATCTGAAAGTGAAAGTAGTGTTAAAATTATAAACATTGAATATGGCCGGAAAATTGTGTTCCTGTTTTCCTAGGAAAGGTAAATATATATTTTATATTGAATGAATTGCCAGGGAGAGGTGACGGGCAGACGGGGGTAGGGTGTCTATGGTGGCTCTCCCTCTTCCACTGTGCTCTCTGACAAACACTATGTTTTACGCATATATAGTGTTATACCGTCACTAGTATTGTTCTATTCGGGTCCAGAGCATTCTGCACACAGAAAACTGTCTACTTCGAGAAGAAATGAAATGAAATGGGGTTTAACGTCCTACTGTTCTGCTCCTATACTGGGCTAATGAAGACGGCCATACGCCATACAGTGTGCTATGGGGGAACTTTTTCCCGGGCAGTGGCACTATCGCCTATTCTTATATCGAATTCCAACTACCAAGGGATCTTTTACGCGCATTCCAATGTATACACGGGACCTCGGTTTTTCGTCTCATCCGTAGGACTAGACAGCTGTCCTTGTCAGGCCCTCCGTCGGAAAATCCAATGAAATTTCTAATCCAATGCAGGGATCGAACACCCGACCTCCAGCCTAGCGAGCCAACACTTCGAGAATAGATCTCCGCCTTGAATGGTCGCCATATCTAATAATAAATATACTATTAATGTAATGCGGTTCTACTCCTGTTCATATCTGCTATACACAGAAAAACTAAATAAATATTTTCAATTTTATTAAACGAAAGCAGAAATATATACATAAAATTATCCAAATATTCTTAGTGTTTTCGATTAAAATCGTCGATTTAGGTCTTAAAATGTCAGTCAACTATCTTAGTGTCTGTTCTCAAGTGGGGCTGGAGGGTTAGATGGCTGAATGGTTAGCACGTGCGTGCTGTATCATAAAGTCTGTCATTGGGTCAACTGGCGTGGTTTCGAATCCCCGGTTGTACGTGACACGGAGTAGGGTCGCCTGTCCAACTTCGTGGGTTTTCTCCGGGTCCTCCGGTTTCCTCCCACTGCTACGCGCAAGCGAAAAATTGAACCATATGTTAGTCCCGAAATGACCTGGTTTGTGTCGAGTGGACGTTAAACCCCATCTCTCTCTCTCTCTCTCTCTCTCAAGTGGGGCTAACTGAAGACAGACAGCCTAAGTGTTTAGTATGATATCTAGTATCAATCACATCACGTGTTTCTGTAGTTGATTATATTATTTCTCTTTTGAAAAGCGGATGGTGGGGGAGGGGTTCTCCGGGTCCCCCGGTTTCCTCCTACTGCTAAAGACCCCTACGCGCAAGCGAATTATTAAAATACAATTGAATCATGTGTTAGTTCTAAAATAACCTAGTTTCTGTCGAGTGGAAGCCAAACCCGATGTCTCTCTTTCTCTCCTATTCTGACAAGGACAGCTGTCTAGTTGTTCGGGTGGGACGCAAAACCGAGGATCCGTGTAGACGTAAAAAATCACTTGGCAGTTGAAATTCGATATAAGAGTAGGCCATAGTGCCGCTGCCCGGGGACAATTTCCCTCATAGCACACTGGATGGCGTATGCCCGTCTTCATTAGCCCAGTATAGGAGCAGAACAGTAGGGAGAGAGAGGAGAGAGAGAGAGAGAAAAATGAGGTTTAACGTCCACTCGACACAAACAGAACATAAGGGCGTTAAACCCCATTTACTTTCATTTTATAGATAAAACCAATGTTGAAGGAATGAATGAATGAGTGGAATGAATGAATGAATGAGTTGAAAGAATGAATGAATGAATGAATGAGTGGAATGAATGAATGAATGAGTGGAATGAATGAATGAATGAATGGGGCTTAACGTCCTACATTTGGTGCAAAAAAATTTCATTTTCCTTTCATTCAGTTTAACTTAATTAATTTAAGATTAGTGGATAAATGAGTTCCTCGGTATGTTGACCTATTGCCACAGGCTATCAAACTAGTTAATCAATTAATCAATCATAATCGATATAAATAGATGTTTTAAATACCTTTAGTGTGAATATAACAACCGACACGGAAGAAATCAGAATGAATGAATGAATCAGTCACTCAATCGATCAAATCGGGAAATATTTATTTTTTTTATTTTAAAGTAAATGAATCATAAGAATATCTCTGATAGTCATTTGAATCCCCTAAATCTTTGAGCATAGTTTGGGTGCTGTAGGAATCCCCTAAATCTTGGAGCATAGTTTGGGTGCTGTAGGAATCCCCTCAATGTTTAAGCATAGTTTGGGTGCTGTAGGAATCCCCTAAATCTTTGAGCCATATATCGGAATCTCTTTGAGCGTGATTTGAGCGATATAGGAAAACCCCTATATTGTTGAGTGTGATTTGAGCGATACATAGGCATCCCTTAAAACTTTGAGTATAATTCGAGCCCTGTAGGTATCCCATAAATCTTTGAGCATAGTTTGGGTGCTGCAGAAATCCCATAACTCTTTGAGCGTGATCTAAGCGATATATAGGAATCTCTTAAATCTTTGAGCGTGATTTGAGCGATATATAGCAATCCCTTAAATCTTTGAGCGTGATTTGAGCGATATATAGGAACCCCCTAATCTTGGAGCGTGATTTGAGCGATATACAGGAATCCCTTAATTTTTTTTGTTTTTCAATAAGTCTGAATTCGTTGTCATCTTTGTACATGTTTGCAAGTCCTAGTGACTGGATGAGTCTCCAAGTTGATTGTGATAAAAACAATCTGTACTTGTGCTCCATACACGACATGAAGAGCAAGATCTACAGACCAGGCTGACCTTAAAAATATCTTTGTTTCGCCTAACGCGACCGACTAACTAAAACCACCCCCGACTTAAATTATTTTATTGCACTTTTCCACGATCTTTTTATTTTATTTTGTGTGTCAACGTGAAATATATCATGAGAGTTATTTCCCTTTACTATGGCTATGGTTTGATTCATTATTGAAACTGGTTGATCAAGACGAAAGCGTCATAGGTGTCGCTTCTCAACAAAATGGTTGCAGACGAATACACGTCCATTCCCACGAAATGATTCTGCCTCTGTGTCTGTGGTGCGTAGTTTTAAACATGACGACGATATTTTCAATATCCGTTTTCGAGAAAAATGAAGACACAACCCGCACTATCGTTAAAAACGTGTTGAAGGAGTTTCACACTTCAAGTTCGTGGCAAATCGTGTGCGAGTCGGGCATCACGAAAAATCCCGATGTCATTGATTTGTTTGCCAATAAAGAAGACGAATGTTTAATAAGGTTAATAAAAACTTTCAGTTCGTTACTTTTTACGTCAGACCCCAAATTCATTAAACAAAATTAATGAATCTGTAGTATACAGCTAATAAGTTTTCTGTATTGATTTCTCTGACTTTAAAAAAAAATCTGAAAAAAAAACCGACCTACGGACCCTTCTCCTCGATTGTGGGTCGGGTTTGGTGAAACAAAGATATTTTTAAGGTCAGCCCCATTCAAAATTTACTAAAACAGTTGACGGGTCACAAACATGCTTCTCTAACAAACGAACTATTAAAGACACATTAGTTAAGAGTTTAATAAAGAGTTGGTCATTCTTGCTATAAAGAGAGAGAGAGAGAGAGAGAGAGAGAGAGAGAGAGAGAAATGGGGTTTAATTTCCACTCGACACAAACTAGGTCATTTCGGGACTAACACATGGATTAATTTTATTTCAATAATTCGCTTGCGCGTAGAGGTCTTTAGCAGTGGGAGGAAACCGGAGGACCCGTAGAAAACCCACGAGGTCTTGCTATAATAATTCAAAAATAGATGATGAAAAAAGAAAATATTGAAAATTTCATTCAAAATACTTCATTCTCAGCCAAGTTATCATTGTTTGTAGTTTTGACAAGATGTGTGCACAGTGATAACCAAGGCATTGGTATAATCGGGATTTAGCCTCGCTTTCCCATTTTTAAATTAAATTTTTAAATGGCGAACCGTTTTAATCTGGTTAAAATCTCAAATATCCGATGCCATCTCGAGTTGATTATGGTGTTGTTTTGTTAAAAAATGTCTAATTAATAGTTTATACAACATTTCAGGCCTAAAGAAAGACCTGCAATAGGCAGAATTATCTCTTGAATAGTGTTTGTTTAATACATAAGTTGTCTGAGTTTTTCCTTGTAAAAGTATACTAATGAAACAAAAACCCTTGATACACGACCCTGGATGACATAAAACTGTATAGAACTACTGAGTGTCATTGCGTAGTTACCGTCCATGCACCAAACATCGGAATCTACAAGCTTCTGGACGTGGTGTTCCCTATATATGCTTTAAAACCTCACTTTACTCACTTTCAAAACATTTTTTTTTCATAAAAATAATATTTTTGGGGGGGTAAAACTGGCCGAAACGTCCGTCTGCGATACGTTCTAGGCCGAAATGTCCACTAGCCGAAATGTCCACTGGTCGAAACGTCCTAGGTCTAAATGTTCACCGTCACTGGGACTGAATCTAAGTAGGAAGACTGTCTACTAGTGAAATGCAATTTGCTTCAAATCGACCCTAGCTTGTTCCACACAGCCCAATATTACCCGGCGGCACTGGGAGGGACTCACCCCACTCAGCCCCCCCCCCTCCACACTCCCCAGCACACACATATAAATATTGTTTTTTGGGGGGCCCGGATGAGATCTTGTTCCTGATGCAAAATCATAGGTCACCAAGCCCCTGGGCTACAAATAAACTTCCGCCGTGATTAGTCAAGTTGGAAGACACATTAGGACGTTACACCCCATTTCATTTCATTGTACAACTATAATGAGCTATAATGCACCGGAAATAAACCACATTGATAATGGTCTGTGATTCACTGTGTTGTACTTTCCGCTTTGTTAATGTCTACTTCTACAAACTGAAATATTACAACCGGGGTTTATCAAATGAAATGAGAGAGAGAGAGAGAGAGAGAGACAGAGAGAGAGAGAGTGAGAGAGAGAGAGGGAGAGAAATGAGGTTTTAATTGTCCACTCGAAACAAACTAGGTCATTTCGGGCTAACATACGGTTCAATTTTATTTTATAACGTTACAAGCGACATAATCTAGGGAGGCGGATGTGTGTTTGGGGGGTGGGGT